TATAATGTTACCAGGCGATTCCTAATCACGTTAGGAATCTAATAAGATAATTATACAAAATATATACAAATATATCCGACAAATATTATCTAGAAAATAATATCTATCACACCCCCACAGTCGAAGCGGTAGGAGGACGAACGCAGAGACTGGATCTGAAGTCTAAAAATAGCTCCCTTGATAAGCCCTTAGTGAAGATGTCCGCAAACTGAAATCGTGAAGGCACATGTAGAACCCGAACTTCACCCAACGCTACCTTTTCCCGAACAAAGTGGATGTCCAATTCCACATGCTTGGTGCGTTGGTGATGAACCGGGTTACTAGAGAGATAGATTGCACTGACATTATCACAATAAACGATAGTAGCCTGTCGAAGGGGACAATGAAGCTCCAATAATAAATTACGAAGCCAATAAGCTTCAGAAACCACATTTGCAACGCCTCGATACTCCGCCTCTGCACTTGATTTAGACAAAGTAGGTTGACGCTTTGCTGACCAAGAAACGAGGTTGTCCCCAAGAAAACAACAATAACCCGATGTGGAACGACGGGTGTCTGGACAACCTCCCCAGTCAGCGTCAGTATAAGTAATCAAGCGAGTAGGAGCAGAAGGATATAAATGTAAACCATGATCAATAGTACCCTGAATACAACGCAGAATGCGTTTTAACGCATCAAAATGCTGCTCCCTGGGATCGTGCATGAATAAGCACACCTGTTGTACCGCATAAGCAATATCTGGACGAGTAAAAGTAAGATACTGAAGTGCACCTGCAAGACTGCGATACAGAGTAGGATCCCGGAATGGAGAACCCGAATTGGCACTAAGTTTAGACTTAGTGTCGACTGGAGTGGCGGCAGGTTTACAGGAACTCATACCTGCACGCTCTAAAATTTCCTGTGCATATTTCTGTTGAGACAATAACATATAAGAGGGTGTGCGTGTAACTGCAATCCCCATAAAGTAACTCAGTGGCCCTAAGTCTGACATAGGAAACTCTGTCTGTAAGCTAGAAATAATTTCCATGCGCAACCTGTCAGAAGAAGTGACTAGAATAATATCATCAACATAAAGCAGTAAATATGCCAAATCGTTCCCTTGCCTAAAAGTGAAAAGAGAAGTGTCACTCTTAGCAATGACGAACCCCAACTTGATCAAATAATTCGCAAAACGTTGATACCAAGCCCTTGGAGCTTGTTTCAAACCATACAGAGCCTTGCGAAGACGACAAACATAGTCGGGTTTACTCCGATCATAGAAGCCCGGAGGTTGATGCATATAAACTGTTTCCTGTAAGTCACCATGTAGAAAAGCATTTTTAACATCTAACTGATGTATGGACCACTTTTAGCCATAGCTAAACTGAGTACTGTGCGAATAGTAGCCGGTTTTACGACCGGACTAAATGTCTCATCACAATCAACTCCAATTTCCTGCGACCTGCCATCACACACAAGACGAGCTTTATGCCTTTCAAGGTCACCATTAGCCTTGTATTTATGCTTAAAAAGCCACATACAATTAACAACATTCACCCCCATAGGTTTAGGCACCAAATCCCAAGTTCCCGTTTTAATTAAAGCACTATATTCATCTAGCATCGCGGCATTCCAATTATGGTCTTGGAGAGCTTGTTTGTGATGTTTTGGTAAAGGGGATTTATGCTCAATGGTCAAGTGAGCATATTTGGGTTTTGGTTTAATAATGCCATGACGGGATCTCGTCTGCATTTGAGGGGAAAAGAGAATGTTGGGTCGAGAAAGAATGGCAGATTGGCGGGCTAGGGGTGTAAAATGGGGTGGACTGTGAGCTGAAAGTTGGGAAATGGGTCGTATAAGAGGCGAGCCCATTTGCGGAGAGCTGGGTGATCCAGCGCCCAAAGGAGGGGACGTTGGACCTGGGCTTGCTCGGTCTGCCTGGGCCGCTGGGTTTCCAGCGCCCAATGGGGTGGGAGACCCAGCGCCTGTTGGCTGGGCTGCTGGTCCAGGTCCGACACCCAGTGGTTGGGCCGCTGGGCTTCCAGCGTCCAATGGGTTGGGATGTTGGACTTGGGCTTGATTATGGGAAGTGGGCTGCTACAATAACACATGGGTTAGCAAAGGTGATCTGTCATCAATGCCCAAAAAATCATAATCTTTTAAAGTGAACTTGTCAATGTCTTTAAAAGGGAAAAAAGACTCATTGAAGGTTACGTGTCGAGAAATAATAATTTTGCGGGTTGCAAGGTCTAGACATTTGTAACCTCGATGATTAGAGGGGTACCCTAAGAAGACACAAGGAGTGGACCTAGGAGCAAGTTTATGAGGAGCAATAGCCGAAAGATTAGGAAAACATAGACATCCAAAAATCCGTAGATGATCATATGAAGGGTTTTACGAAACAAAGCTTGAGCCGGGGTCATGTGCTTAAGAGATTTGGTTGGCAAAATATTAAGGAGATAAGTGGCCGTCTCTAGAGCATGGGACCAATATGAAGGTGGCAAAGAAGCATGGAATAATAGAGTTCGGTTGATATTATTGATGGTTCTAATCATTCGTTCGGCTTTTCCATTTTGAGATGAATTGTGAGGACAAGAAAATCTAAAAACCAATCCATTGTCAAGGCAGAACTTTTTGAAGGGGTCATTGTCAAATTCGCGACCATGGTCATTTTGAAAGCATTTAACAGGACGTTCAAATTGTGTTTGCACATATTGCCGAAAATGTAAGAATGATTGGAAAGCTTGAGATTTATAAGCAAGAGGGATAGCCCAAACATAATGTGTAAAATCATCAAGTAGAACCAAATAATATTTATGACCATTAATACTCCGAATAGGAGAGGTCCACAAATCAGCATGAATAATATCAAAAGCAGAAACAGTATTATTATTTGAATCATGAAACGGAAGTCTAACATGTTTTCCTATTTGACAAGAACTGCAAAGAGAGGGGTTGTGCTCCTTATTAAAAGAAATAAAATTATTGCTCCTAAGAAACTGTAAAGATGAAGGCCCGGGATGTCCTAGACGATCATGCCACGGGTTGACTGCAGTGAGAGAAGTGGCTAGACATGTGCTTGGAATATGGGTTGTGACTGGATAAAGCTCCCCGGCACTATTGCATCTCGTTATTACCCTCCCCGTACGAAGATCCTTCACAGAAAAACCATTAGGGTCAAATTCAATAGACACCGAATTATCAGAAGTAAATTTTCGCACAGAAATTAAATTTTTGATATTTTGAGGTGCAAGTAAAACATCATTAAGCCTAAGGTTATTATTCGGAAGGGATGTATGACCATAACCAGTAATTGGAATGCGATGCCCATTGCCGACTAAAATATGATTATTAGTGCTTAAATTAAAAAGGGGAAGAAGAGTACCGGGATTGTTTGTCATATGAGACGTTGCACCCGAATCCATGTACCATCCATTCTCCGGAGTTGATAAACTCATTGATGAATACGCATTGCCTAGCTCGGTTGGAGTCATCGGTGGGCCATAAGTGGACGGCCCCATAGAGTAGGCCTGCTGAGGTGGCCTATTTAGAATCGGCCTAGGTTGATATTGAGGTGCTGTGGGGAACGGTGCAGGAGGAGCAGCCCATGTTTGCTGTTGTGGCCAGGCCTGTTGCTGATTGGGCCATTGCTGCTGTTGGGCCCAATTAGGCTGCCCAATAGGACTGGGCTGAGGTTGCCAATGTTGCAATTGTTGTTGATTGTTCTGCTGCTGTTGCGAGTTGGCTGGAGCACCACGACCACCAGCTTTACCTCGGCCTTTCCCACAGCCTTTACTGCCACCGCCGCGTCCCTTCCCGGAGACACCACTCCACCGCCCCTGGCGGCGGTTGTTTGCTGCGGCTGCTGCTGTGTGGAGTCGGTCTGCTGTCCCAATTGGTGCTGGGCAACAAATGAGGTTTGTGGTGGTGAGGAATCGTAATTCCGGCGGGTTTCTTCCAATAAGAGCCGAGAACGAGCTGTGTTGAACGATGGCAGGGGTTCGGATTGTGCAATCATGGTGGCCACCGTGTCAAAATTAGTTTTGTTCAAACCCGCGACCAAGCGAAGAACCAATTTCTGATCGGAAACGGGTTGGTCGACGTTGGCTAATTGATCAGCAATGCTTTTCAATTGTTGACAGAACGAGGTAACATTGGCAAAATTATCAAGATGAAGAGTATTAAATTGATTCTCGAGGTATACAGCCCTTGTACTCTTGTTATCTTGAAAAATATCCTTGATGCGATCCCAAATTTGCTGAGCCGTGGCTTTCCTAGACAACACAGTGTTGAGAAGATCAACAGAAATCGTTCCATAAATCCAGTGCTTTACAATAGCATCCAATCGAGTCCAAAACGCATCGGAGATGTCAGTGGGTTTCGGAGTCTTGGGATCGATATGATCAAGAACGTTATATGCACAAGCATGGTTCTCAAACAATTCAACCCATGTGAAATAGTGGACGTTCGCGTAGTCAAGGGTAATCGGGGTTGCTGTCTTGATATTATTGACCGCGAGGGCCGGGTGAAATTCATTCACTGGTGGTTTTGGCGGTGGAGGAGGTGGTGAGTCGCCATCTTTTGACATAGTTGCAAGCTAGGTGAAAAGATCAGTGAAGAAAGGTTGGGCGGCAGTAAGTGAAGCAGAAGCAAGAAAAAAATAAAACTAGGATCGTAACCTAAAGCTGTGATACCATGTTAGAGGACCAATTCAACCAAAAGTTTAAGCTGATGGTTGAGGCCCAAGAATATGGTCCTCTAACAATAACTAACTTTGCCACATCAGCAGCATGAGTTAACAATTTGTTTTAAACAAATCTTTGTAATAATCAAGATATGACAACTTCTGTTTCTTGATCTTGATAACCGACTTAACTAACTAAAGTAACAAATCAACCATCACAGCCATATATATTTCCATTCCAAGTATTCTGTTTTTGTCCTACATGATTATTAAATCATTAGAAAACAACCTTACTCATTTCTTCAATCTCAAATCTTCTGTTTTGTTAACAAATCAGTAATGGCTGGTTCGAGTTTATCACAAAGACGCGAATACAGAGCTATGGAGGAGTGTCCGAGAAAGCGATACGTAAGGTACAACAAATCCATAGGACAAGGTACAACAAAAAAAGTTTATATGGGGTTTGATAAAGTCGATGGGATAGAAATTGCTTGGTCTAAGACGCAATTGACAAATTCATCAAATCAAATATACAAGAATTTGCTTGCTGAAGCTTCTCTGTTAGAGTCATTAGACCATGAAAATGTAATCAAATGCTACCATTCTTGGTACGATGATTCCACTAAAATCTTTCACATGATTACCGAGCTTTGTACTTCCGGAGATTTGAGAAAGTACACCAACAAACACAATCTTGTAGGTAACACCGCGATCAAGAATTGGTCTAGACAGATTCTAAGTGCGTTGAACTATTTTCATGATCGTAGTATACCGATAGTTCATCGAGATGTGAAGATTGAAAACATCTTCATTGATGGAAATTTGGGCACGGTTAAGCTAGGAGATTATGGTTTCGCACGTAAAATTAAACCTGGAAGAAGTCTAACTAGGTGTGTTGGTACGCCAGAAACTATGGCACCGGAAATTCTAGAAGCAGAATATAATGAAAAGGCTGATATATTTTCGTTTGGGATGACTTTAGTGCAGATAGTGACTAAGGAAAAGATGTACAGCGAATGCAACAACGACAAAGAACTAGTTTTCGGAATGATTAGGAGGGGTGAAATGCCTGCCGCGCTAAACAATGCGGTAGATTCTGAGATAAGGCAATTCATTGATAAGTGTCTGCGTCCTAAATCAGAGAGACCTGCTGCAATTGACCTTCTGAATGACCCTTTTCTTGTAAACGATGTTCCTGAAATATCGACAGCAGGTATTAGTGCTGCTAGTATTCAGACTCTGAGAGAGTCTGTGCGTCATCAGGTGGCTAGATTACTGCGTAAAGAACCTGACAAGGAAGAGTTTGACAGCACGACAGACAATTTTCCGGCTTCTAGACCATCTTTAGAACGACAAAGAGAAATGGAGCGTGAGGGTGAGACCTTTGGGTCACAAAAGGGAACATCTGAGACTGGTTCGCCGTCTAGGACACACGAGACATCGACTGATACCTAGTTGATTCTTAAATGGTTTTGGGAATATTGGGATGCTGTCATCATCAGTTTGCTGCAACAGATGGAAGTATAAGGTCAATACACAATTCTTTGGTATTACAAGACTTTTCGACAATATTCATGTATGTTTTAGAGTGATAATTTTGAGTATAATTCTAGGGGTTTTATATACTTTGAGTCTCAATCAGTATAATTGCTTGAAATTAGGCATGTTACTTGTTATTTGTTACTCCTAGTGTTGGCACTTGGCAGGGAGGAAGATGTACTCGTATTATTTTTGATCTTATTTTGTCTTGGCTTCTGTAACCGATAAATTGGCTTACTTCTCAGTTCATACTAAATTATTCTGGATTTTCTCATATTTTTTTATTGAATTTTCATTACTTAGTTGGAAAATGAAAGTTCTGTATTTCGTCCTCTGTAGTATGTACAGAAAATATAATGAAGGCTTGCTTATGCAACAATTTGCATTTAGCCGTATCACAAGCATGCGAAGACATGTTTTGGGTATACAGTTTAACAAATATTTAGAACTAGTGTTTCAGAGTCAAATATATGGATTAAATTGATACTAGTGGCAAAAATTTATTTGCATAATGTTTAACTTAATGAGTGTCCAATTCGATTTTCACAAGATGTTAATCAATTGTGCACAATTAAGATTTACCTAGAGGTTCTTTACAAAAAAAAAAAATTTACCTAGAGGTGATGGTAAATATGTTATAATTATTTTTAAACAACACATCATGAAATTTAACTACTCCGAGTATGTACTAGCTAGATATAACCCAAACCACTTATTACTTTCAACTATACCAATGAACATTGCAAGTACCATACCATAACTAGGGGGATTAAGTTTATACAATAACCATTTTTATACGCCAAATAACGTGACATGAGGATATTGTATATTTCTTATGGGCTAGATGGTTCTAATTGGGTTGAATTTGGTTAACGAGACATTTAGATACAGTCAGTTAGGGTCTAATATAGAGTAACATTGAAAACCGTAAAATTTAGTTATATTACTGTCCAAGAGTAATGCAGAAACTTACTGATTAAAATCGATTTACCCAATCTATCTAACTTTGGGTAAACCATGAATATTATACGAGCTATCGAGTGATGAAGAGCAAGATGATGAGTCAGGACCTCGTCGATTATTATCTGTTTGGTTTCCTGTACTATCCAATTGATTTTGCTGCAACGTATGAATTCTGAGATCGATCAACTTCATTCATTAGTATGTTTGACAATATTCTTTAGTGTGTATAAGTACGGTTGCTAGATTTTGGGCTATGGATTCCTAGTTTACAGAAGGGAGGGGGAGTTATTCTTTAGGTTTTTTTTGGTTGAAGGGGAGTTATTCTTTAGTTAATTTGTTTGATTAACTGTAAAAAACATTGATGTTGATAAGATTGTAGATTCTTGAAGATTTTATCATCCAGTAGCGTTTATTGAGATAATCAACCTACGTGCAGTTGAGCATTGTGATTTAAGCCCAGTACTCATCCTACTTAACCATGCTACAAAGAGAGCCATTCACAGGTTATAAAGACTAGACATCACAAGGGAATATCGTTTGATACTCCAAAAACAACCAGAATTTAAAATAGTCTATGGCTCCCACATGGAATATCAAGAGCAATACTATTGCACTTCAGAGAGCTTAAGAGTAACACAGCAGATCAACAGTTTGATACCCAATGTCCCAATCCCATCCATATTCAAACCTAATGCACTCAATTAAATTGGAATTAAGAAGCTTCCATCAATCAGTCTCAAGCCTAAGCACATGGAAAAATTCTCATTCTATTAAGTGAAAAAGAAAAATTACAAACTGGAATGTCTGGAACAGCAGTTTGATCAATGTTTGGGTTTTTCCAATAATGATATGAGGATAAATTAATGAAAAATCAGGGAAGTACCACAACACCGCCCTACCCTAGAAATATACATGCTCTCAAGATATCACGTATACCTTTATCTACCAATAGCAGAAACAAGTACAGCTACGACTCCAACTGCACGGGCAATCTCAAGATATTATCGACCAAAAGGTACTAAGAAAACCCCTGAACTTCGATATTAGCACTATTTACAGTAATATCATTTTTCTTTATAATTTAAGCCATTTAATTCCTCTCTTGATAAGTTAAAGGGAAAACAAAAGGAGGGCTATAAGCCAAACCAGATAAATAGACCACCAAATATATTATATAAATAGAGCACCCAAAATATTATGTACAAAAACAAAGAAGCTCAAAACGGAATCACTGAACCCAGATGAACATCAATCTGATACTCGAACCCTTTAATCATCTTATTTACGAGTACACATTCAAAACAGAGAAATTGTGTGACTTGCACCGAAAATTCAGCACATATATCATCAACAAAAAAACACCTAATCACATGCAACACAAAGGCAATAAGATATGCTCTAAGAGATTGTTAATTACCTATTGCATCAAAGTAGTCCCTCTCATCATATCCATGTGGTCAAATACATCTCAACTGAAGCATGAGCCTATCTCATTGATACCTCATGACATGGCACAAGAAATCAGGGTTTCAATAATATTTTCTATTTCGAACCTCTACCTTGAAGCTTCTTCCTTGCCTCTTCACTGCAAAAAAAATTATTGATCTTCCCCTGCAAAAACAAAAGACTTAACATAAGCCTTGGAAAACAGAACAGTATTTTTGGCTTAATAGTTCTGATATTTTAAACCATGCTTAACCCAAACTATTTTCTGGGGCTGAGAGGAAATAGACACTGACCTGCAAGTCTGTAACTCTTCTAAACACATAGCTTTTGGTGGTGGGCGTAGAAATTTTTGTAATGGGTCAGAACATATTCCATCTTCCCCAAACATAGCTTCTGATTCTTCCGTCACAAGATGAAAAAGTTGTAAACCATCTACTTGTTAAGACAACTGAGGAGAGTCGACCAGATTATTACAGTTGTCCTCCGTTGAATATCTGCACCAAAGCACAAAACATATAGAGTTACTTATTTGGATACATCATACATGATTTTATATCAAACAAACCATACACACTCCATCCTTTTTTCACATTTCAATAACCAAAAGTACCATGATTATACTATTTGTAAAGAGAGAAAAAAGAAAATCTGTAAAATTTCTAGTCCTTCAATAAGACTACTTCTGCATTCTAGTTTCTTTCTGACATATTTAAAGCAGGAAACAACATACTACTTTGATGGAAGGATTACAAATATTATGGATACTAACCATATTTTAAGCAAATGAAAATCTGTGAAATTCTAGTTCCTTATAGAAACATATTTTAAGTTGTGTTACTAAAACTTGGCAAATTAACTTTGATGGAACGATTACAAACGTTAACCAATGACTCTATGAGTACCATTGAGCTCTTCCACGTAAGCGACTCGGCCAGCATCCGTACCCAGTATTTCTCCATCCTGAACAAACCACAACAGCTCATTCATTAACCATAACAACATAAGGATGAAAACTTCATAATAATTAAAATTTTATGCACCAATTTATCCTCAAACTCTTACTTCTTTAGAACTATTTAACCCTCAGCAAGCAAAACGCAAGAATTTGAACAATTACAACCCCAAATAAATTCAACCATACAAAAAATAGAGCTATACTCAGGAGACATAGCAACCTTATCATCGAAATCCAAATAATCAAATGGTTCTGCAACACATTAGCAACCAAATATGATTCAATTATCAAATTAAGGCTCTTAAATTTACAGAGAAAGGGTCCAATTTTATAGTTAAATCCTAACATTAAAGGCAAACAACATTCAAATATCAAATCACGCTCAAAATTTTCCTATTATATCGAATTTAGAAAAACCCAAAATTGAGCATACTGAGAATTAATTTAACGGTAAACCCTAGATTGTGAAATTAATATTCCATGTTTACAAAAAGAAACAAAATCTTACCTTAAAAGCTGCTCAATCGCCTCAATTGATCGAAATTAGAAAGTAAATGAATGACAAAGTTTGAGTCTTTGAGAATCAACGGCTCAAAGTTTAGGGTTTGTGAGTTTTAGTGAAGAGATTTGGAGGGATTTTTTTTGTTATTTTTTTTATTTAAATGAGAATTTGGAGGGAATATTTTTTACGCCTTTTTTTTTTTTTTTTTTTTAATACTAGTTGAAGGAAATTTTTATACTCCGTAGACCGTAGGCAATTAAAAGTAGTAAAAATTTTATTTTTTGGAAGATTAAAATTAGTAATTTTAAAATTAAAATTAGTAATTTTTATTTTATTTTTTGATACAAAACCAAGAATATCTTAAAAAAAAAAAAACAATAATTTCCTAACTAATCTAATTTAAAAGGTTGCTAATAAATTTTAAAAAAATAATAATAAATAAAGGTTGCTAAGAAAAACAACTAATCACAAATTTTAAGATAAACTTGCGTATTGCATTTGTAATTGATGTAGAATTTCGTAGCCGTGGCTTTGATCTTGTAAATGTTTCCGGTGCGAGCAACGGGTCATTGAGGAGTTCAACTGCCGAAGGTCTTTCGCAAGCCGTCGGAACCAAACACTTTTCAATCAAGTGTCGAACTTGTAAATCTGTGACTTTGCTTAGAGATTCTGGCATAACACCCGACTTTATCCTTTGGGAACGTTCATTCACATCACCACAACATTCGTTGTATGGAGATTCACCCGTAAGCATTTGAAGAAAGCACATCCCAAAACCGTAAATATCAACTAGCTGAACGGGATAATATTGTTTTTCAAGAAACATCGCGACACCAAAATTTGCTATCATTATCCGGCCTGTACTCCCATCAACATAGATGTTACTACAATTCAAAGCGCGGTGCACGATTGGAGGATTTCGAGAGTGAATATATCAAAATGAACGTGTGTTTCAACCCTTCAAGGATCTGTCTAGCAAAATCCTTAATTGCCTCGATATCAAAATGAACGTGTGTTTCGAAGTAGTCTTTCAAACTCCCTGATGTATAAAGCTCAGTAATCATGTTAATTGATTCCGTATTAATCCAATAATCATAGCACTTGATAATATTTTCATGATCTAATGACTTCAAAAGACTTGGTTCAGCCTTCACACTTTTAAGATAGCTTATGTTATCGAATATATCGTCTGTTAACACAGTCTTATGCCAAGCAATTTCTATTCCTTCAATTTCATCAAAACCTTTGTATATTGTTTTTGAGTCCACTTTGCCTATGATCTCGCCGCACCTTGTGTATCGTCCAGTTGAATCGGTTTCGACAACCTCGAGACCGTTGACACCAATTGATCCAATGATGGCCATCACTAAATCAGCCAGTCAACAAAGAAACAGAAAAAAGAATTTATTTGATTTAATGGCTAGGAATTTTTGTGATGAAAATTTTGTACAATGCAGCAAATATATAAAGGTGAGATGCAATTATAGGCTAGTTAAGTTGTTTTAGGGTTCTAAGTGGTTACGAAATTTCAGGGTGTACTTTTGAATTATTTTTTTTTAATAGTTTAAGTGTTGACTATAAAATTCCTTAATGATAACATCGGAGATAAGATAGGAAAACTTTTTGTGTAAAAAAAAAAATAGGAAATTTTTTTTTAAAATCAAATTTCTTTATTTGACTTCCGTTAGATTATTAAAAATCTAAATAGATTCTGCCCTTTGATTTGTTAAAACAAGTTTAATTTATAAGATAAATATTTTAGCATCAAATCAAATAAATAATGCTTAACCAATACCACTTGAAATTTATTCACAAATGGCGTTGAATCATTCTAAATAGACTTTGCACCAAGCTTAACCAACAACTTGAATGTTAATTAAGTTTAGTATGTAATTTGGTTGTACTCTGAGAAAAGGATGACAAATTAATCCGTTCTTATTTTTAAAAAAATCTCGTAATTTATTACTTCCCAAATTAAATAAGGAATTTATTTTTGTTAAATATCAAAGAAAGAGGATTTCTGTTTCTTGAATCTTAATAATCTACTTAAGATCAACTAACTATGCCATGTAACAACTTAAGATTGCAATTATATTTACCAGACTTTGCACCAAAAAAAAAATTAAAAATAAAAATATATACTTCCTCTGTTCTTTTTTACTTAACATGTTTCTTTTATCACGCTTGCTAATGCAAAACTTTAACGATCAATAACTTAAATTCTCCATAAGTAAAAATTTCAAAAGTTATATATTATGATAGTACTTATTGAGACGAATCCAAAAAGATCACATATGAATATATTTTTCCTTACATATTATTCACAAAAGACGGTCAAAGGAGGAGTGGTGAATATTGTAAAAGTCAAAGCGGGTCAAGTAATAAAGAACGGAGGAAGTATCAACTAGAGTTAAACTTTTATACCAATTCTTTCTTTAGTTTCTTTTCTGTTGGTAATTTAATTAGTCACTCATGGCAGATTTGAGTTCATGATCCAAACGCGTGGCTATGGAGACAGACCTGATTAGGCAATACATAAATCTACAATAGTGGCATAGGAAGTGTTTACAAGGGCATTGATAAACATCTAAGGTATAGAAATAAATCATTAAGCTCTAAGGAAAGTTGT